AAATGAAGATTAAATAGAATTGTATTTATATATACATACATGTAGTCCCTGTGAGTTATCAAGTTATAAAAGTTTGAACATGAATGGTCAGAGCATGTCAATGATATGGCTCGATAATTGTATTCATTAAAATGGCCATCAGTCGGCTATTTTGAAAATAATCTGAAAAAACAAAAGAACCTGAATCAAAGTTCCATAATGACCAATATATGTAACTATTAAGTTTGATCTATTTATACACAACCAAGATCAGATTCCGAAATGGCAAATATTGTAAGTTTTTTTTTTGATGAATTTCAAGCACAAACATTTTGCATTTCGTCCATCTTGAATCAGATTGTGAAACAAATGTATTTGTATTCATGTAATTGTATCACAGATACACTATGTGTGAAGTGTGGAGATGCACACATGCATGCATGCATGTACACGAGGAGGTCATAACATAAGCTGTAAATTTCTAACTGCGCTAGAACAGAATTGTACAGTACAATGAACTGGAAGAGCAAAGCAAATCAAATGAGGTAAATATATTTTTAAAACCAGTCATTGAAAATGACACAGTCCCCGTTAAATTTTTGAAAGTTCTCTTTGTGCTCGTCATATTAAAGCGGAGGGGTTGTCGCAAGCATGTTCTTGAAACTTGAGTTCCAAGTGGTGTATACAACAGATTGTTTATTTACATCAAAACACGTGTTCCGTGTAGTAGTAATATGGCCAAAATTAAAAACAGCCGTTATTCGGCCATCTGATTATGAAACACACTGATATGTATGATGTATGTGCCAAATACGAATGAAAATGATACATAAATTGTGGAAATAGTAAGTAGTAAGGCCAAAAAGTCAGATGGCTGTCAATCAGACATCCTTGACCAGATTTTGAAACAAATTGTCATGGACATGCATGCATCCTAACATGTAAAAAGTACATGTATATGCCAAATTTGAATGAAAACTGACAGAGCACGTCCAAGATACCACATAAAAAAACAAAACACGATGCCTGCTAGTCGACCATTTTTGATCGAATTGCGAAAAAAATCGTCATGGACATGTATCTTCACATGTATAATCTATGTACCAAGTTTGAATGACAACTGACAAAGCATGTCCAAAATACAACATTTTCAAAAAACAAGATGGCTGCCAGTCGGCCATTTTGAATCGCTAAACCACTGCATGTGCATATGTCCCACATAAGGTACTAGGCACATGCATATTCTGAAATATGACTGAACAGACTGACGGACGAACGGACATACGAACGGACAGACAGACTCAGGAACTCACGGACGGTTAGGGACATGTATCCTAACATGTATGATCTATGTACTAAATTTGAATGAAAACTGACAAAGCATGTCCAAAATACAACATTTTTAAAAAACACAATAGCTGCCAGTCGGCCATTTTGAATCAAATCGCTAAACCACTGCATGTGCATATGTCCCACATAAAGTACTAGGCACATGCAAAGCATGAACCGAATCTGTCCAAGGGATTCTGAGCTGAACAGGGACTAATTAAACAATTATCACTGCTACAAATCTGTTATTTGTTAATGCTATCAGGTAATACACCAATATGATAAAAATCAGATCTCATTTGTTTATTTAAATTTTTTATTGTGATCATATCAAAAAAAAAAACATCAATTGTTTTACAAAATTACTGAAATTTTGTGAAACTGGTAAATATTCTTCAAATATCGAAATTGTGAAATTAAATAAGAGAAAATTAAAGCTTTTACAGTATAAATTTTTAGTGATGAATTCATTTAAAACAATAAAGATAGAGTAACACTTCAGTAACTTACCGGCGCAGTGAGACCAGTATCATTACAGTAATAGCCAGCAGGACATAGGACACAATCTGATTCTTGCATGGTACCATTCTGATCTGTGTAAGTACCTTCTGGGCAGGGACGGGGATATGCATCCTGTCAAGAAAAGTTATGGTAATTAGCAACGCATACAGGTCAGTATCATGTGATATCTTTGTCAGAGTACTTCATCAAATCTGCCATTTAATTCTGTATAGTTCATGAATAGTTATGTTATAATCATAAATTTCAAAAACGATTTTCCGAACATGTTTAACAGAGAAGAGAATTGCGTAATCATTCATTGTACAGTACATGCCAAGGCTGCTACATGTACGTGACTGATGCTTATACATGCTGACTTTATTCACTTTTTTTCACCATTATGCTAGAGGATACATAAAATAAATATTAAAATAAAGATGAAATTTACATTAAATCATCAAGAAATCCACATTATATTAAAGTATATAACTATTTAAGATGAGCAGAAATGGTTCGGCAGGAGAAAATAGTTTAGGTGAAGCTAGTCTAGTTATGCTCTCAAATGATGCAGGAATGCTTGTCACACATTGTTTGTTGTATCTTTGACAACCCTGCTTGATGCCTTGTATAGTAGATTGGATAGGATGAATTTTAAATTAAAACACACTATAACAGAATGTGACATGTTGGTAAATAAATCAGTATAGGCTTCATTTTTTTTAATTTCTGTATTTTATTCATTTATGAATTTCTTTGGGGGTGTTTACTTGTTTTTTATATATTGTATCTCGGTAACCTTAAACAATAAATGAAAACGGCAAGTATAAACCACAAAATAGTCAAAATAAAAAAAAAAATTATAGAAATATAAAAAAAAAAAAAAAAATTGGAGCTTTACCTACATTAGATTTTAATTGGATCGGTAAATAACAAAACACAAAGACAAATTAAATGATAACTTGATCCATCTTCTGGTTAACAGTGTGCAACACAGTCCCTCCAGACCTTTTTGGACTGTGTGTGCATGCAAATGACATGATCTGATTCTTACCACATCACCACGTAAACAGTAGTGTCCCTGTGGACAAGGATCGGTATTCAAATCCGGGGCAGTAGAGCGGCCTTCTTTGCACCACATACCAGCTGGACACCACAAATCAGCACACATTTTTTCCATACTTGTATCATGTAAATTGCAGTAAAATCCTGGTTGACACAGTGAACACTCTTCAGCTCCCCAATCCTAAATAAAAAAAAGAAGAATACTAAATTAACAGAATTAGCTCAAACAGGCATTTTTTAGATTAATTTTCACCCATACCATAAATCACTAATAATTTTACTATAAATTGAACTTTGTTGAGATTATAATAACAAGATACATTGTATCCATGTTTGAAGATAATCAAATAAGAACTATTTTTAAGTAACCACAGAAAAAATTGCATGATGGGCAATGACAAAAACTTTCTTAGAATATACATTTCTATT